TATTAAAGTTCAGTTTTATTTAAGTTATTTTGCCTCCTGCATTTGAGTTCACACCTCTGCACTCCACTCATTGTTACAGAGACACATATTTACAAGTCTGTGGACTCTACTGGAAGAATGGACACAAAATACTTCTTTCTCTAATTTGGTGTTTCTATAATAGTAGCTTAGTTTGGAGATTTTACTGTAGCAAAGTCATGTATATATTTATTAACATTAGCATTTGATTATCTCTGTGTGTGTGATCAGGTTTGTAAATATGTCAAAACATCTGTGTGCACAGATATTATCAGCTGGAAAGTCTTAAAGTTTTGCCTGAAGCACTTAAAATACAGACAAGTGATCAATTTACAGCTCACCTGCTCTCTTTGTTGTCTGTTTTATTACTTGTGAACTTTGCTGCACATCTGCTGTGACAGATCCACAGATGAGTGTGGAAGGTTTTCTGTTAGTCAAGGGTTCATTAACCCTGAGCTCAGGCTCACAGGCTCAGGCTTTCTGTCACACTCAGAACAAACCACCAGGTGGCGTATTACTCAGCCAGGCTCACCTGCTCTTCACCTTGCATTTGAGTCACAGTTGCAGTAGGAAATAAAACTGCAGCTGGAACATCTGTGTGGCAGATATTGTGGGTTTTTCCTTCTTTCACTAAAAGGGCCACAATAATTGCCTCATATTTGTCTAAGTTACAGAACTTAAATTCAAGGCCACTCTGACAGCAGACAGCACAACCACACCAGCAGGGGGCAGTGTGAGTCTGACGTGTGATGTGAATTACTCTGTTCAGAAAAACCTCATCTGAAAATAAGATCATCTCTTTTAGCTCTAAGAGTGCAATCTCTGTCTCTGATGGAGGCATCTACACCTGCAGAGGAAGGAGAAGAAACACAAGTTTAGTCACAACTAAAAGCGATTCAGTCGTCATTCAGGAAACTGATGAGTTTGACTAATTCTTTGAGAATTGAAAAAGGTCTTCTCCCAGTTGTAGAGGAAATCAGTATTCACTAATCACCAGCACTTAAAGCACTAAATCTGTCACATTATTAATTATTAGGCTCAGTACATCGTTTCACCTTTGTTCAGTCTTCAGATCACTTACAGACACAGAGGAGTTCATGGTGCTGTTTTGTCTTTTTAGAGTGATTTAAAAAACAGTTTGTGCTCCTTTCCTGGTTACTGAACCTTTACTCTTAGTTTTTCTTTGCCAGTCTAGTTTTGACTTTGGTGCCACATAAAAACTTTGTATTTCACATTTCATGAACTAATAATCAGTTTATGAGAGCAGAGCAGCCTCCAGCTTTGAATCCATCACTGGAGGTTTAACAGCGTTGTTAGCAAACAAGAGCTAACTGATGACTCACGGATTATATGTTTATAAATGTGTAATATGTAAATGTAAAGATGTCAAAATAAGTAAACTGTTGAATATAAAGATCCGTTAATTACCTGATTTAATTTATTTATTTAAAAGAAAGAACTTTTTGATTTTCAAGTCCAATTATCAGTGTGCTAATGATATATTTTTGTTTGAACAGCTCTGCCTAAGCCCACTGTTACACTGCAGCCATCTTGGCCTCAGATATACAGCGGTGTGATATACAGCGGTGAGACAGTCACTGTCAGATGTGAGATTCAGGGAGGTGAAGGAGCTCAGTGGACGTATGAATGGAGACCAGACAAGTTAAACACACCTCCAACATCCAATGAATACACAATCAGCAGCGTTACTGAGTCTGATGGTGGAGGATACAGCTGTCGGGGCACAAGAAGCTCTTCCTGGACAGAGTGGAGTGATGTCATCACACTGAATGTAAAACGTAAGTTGGAGATATTTCACTCACACTATCTTTTTTTAATTTATATTGTAACACACCGAAGGCTTTTTTGTTTATTATCAAAAGTGGCAAAAATGGCTTTGATAAAAAATAAACAGTAAAGACTAAAAATTAAACATCTGAAGTATGAAAAAGATTTTGTTATATTGTTATATGTTATAATATTTTTAATGTTGAAATTCTTCTCTATAAAATAGTGTAGAAGACATTTCTTACTTCTTAAATTACTGTTTGTAATAATGCTATTAAATAGTGGCAATTGTAACCTACGTAATTCTTTGGATATACATTTCCTGCAGGAAATTGGTTCCAGCAGAGGTCTTGCATCTATTTGAACCCTTTTATATGCCAACACCTCACTGCTGATATTTATGGCAGCTCTGAACTATAATTATTTATAGTGGATCTGTCTCCTCCTGTGCTTGTTTATCATCCCCTCAAGTTAAACAAGGATTTTATTTCCACCCTTTTATTTGGAATCAAATAAAGATTTGACTGCATTCTAACTCTTGGGGATTTTAATGTTTGCTGCCCATCAAACTCCTATAAAACACCCTTCCAACAGATGACATTAAAAAAAGTTTTACAGTCTCTGTAAAAGTTTTGCTAGACTGACATGACGACATAAAATCATGGTTGACAATACATTTTTTTGAATGTAAATGATCAAAAAACAAATTGTATTATTTGAACCTTCAGACCCTCGTTTTGCTCTTAAGTGTAACTTGTTCTTCTGAAAAAGTTCAGAACTCCCTTTGAAAAAAATCTGCAGGTGATCTTTGATGACAGTTTCTCATTTGAGAAATAAATAAATTCAGTTGTAAAAGCCAGCCTATGCCTCCTGAGGGCCTTTGCAAAAATGACGGACGTTTTGTCATCTGCTCACTTTGAGAAAGTAACTCATGCATTTATTTCATCCAGGCTAGTATAATATGCTTTATTTTGGTAGCAGTCAGGCTATAATGATTATTTAATTGTTTGTTTTTAAGTCTCTGAATGGATTCACTCCCTCATAGCTCTCTGATCTTTTAAATAAACAAACTCCAAACAGAACTTTAAGGTCAGCTGATATGTTGCTTCTAATTGTTCCTAGAAGCAGACTAAAACACAGGCTAAGACTAAAACTGGGCCTTTGTGATTGTTTTGCCTGAACTTTTGGCACAGTCTGCCCTTCAAATTACTCTTTGATTACCAAATAAATAGTGTGCAGAAAAAAAATACAATTCCCAAGGGGCCTCCCTCAACTAGACACATTTGACATAAAAGACTCAGCTCCTCCTTCAGATATCAGTGGGCTGGTCCAATTTCTGAAGTGTGGGTGTGGGCAGAGGCAGTGGGACAGCTAAGCCTGAGCCAGTGGTTTGATCTGTTTGTCTTGCCAGCAGGTCAGCAGATAAGTGATTTAGTATATATATGTACAAAGGGTCTGACTGCACCAACTAACTGCACGTTGACTAAAAAACACACAAACACATTGTTTTCTGTTAGAAGTGAAGTAAGTTGACTAATAGTAGGAAAGCTTTTCATGCAGACTTCCTCTGAGTTTAATTTCCACGTGTCTCACTTTTCTATTAAAAAAAAAAACAGACCTTACTTCTAACAGACCCATCCTACAGTCTCTTTGTCCTGCAGAGGTGTTGCTCTAGCCTCTTCTTTGTTGAAAAAAACAAAACTAACGCTATGAAACATAAACATTTAAAAGTATCGTGTGAAGCAAACATTATTTTGTGGTGATAGGTTAATAATTTTCATCACTTTTCTTCCACTTACAGCGCCCGTGCCTAGATTACTGCAACAGTCTAAGCAAACAATCAGCTGAATGACTGCAGACCAAACAGATTTAAGCTGCCAGGCTTTGAGCTCAAACACATCACATAGGATCCCAGCACTCCCACTTTTCATACTGGCTCCCAGCTTCATCAGTGTTCTGGTTATCCACGCTGATTTTAACCTCAAAGTAAATGTATAAATGTAAAGCAGAAAAATCTGTGAGTTTTGGAATATAAATAAAATGTAACTTTACCAAGTAAATTCTAATACATTTTATATTAAAATGTTTTGTTACAGCGTGAAAGCTATAAATTGTTTTATTGTGACTTTGTTTTGATTTTCAGACTTGAAACTGTCTGTGAATCATTTGCTTTGCAGTCACTCTACTCTTACGTTATAAACAGCAGAGTTTTCATGTTTCTCTTCTAACTGGATCATTATTATGTGAACAGTTCACATTAAGCCCACTGTGACCCTGCAGCCATCCTGGACTCAGATATACAGCGGTGAGACAGTCACTGTCAGATGTGACATTCAGGGAGCTGAAGGAGCTCAGTGGACGTATGAATGGAGACAAAACAAGTTAAACACACCTCCAACATCCAGTGAATACAGAATCATCAGAGTCACTGAGTCTGACAGTGGAGGATACAGCTGCCGGGGTAGGAGAAGCTTTTCCTGGACAGAGTGGAGTGACATCACCACATTGAAAGTAACAGGTAAGTTGGACACATTTCACTCATTTTAATTTATACTGCACAATGTTTCATCCAAAAACACAACAAAATACTTTGTATTGCAACAACACAACAGATTTTGTTTTTAATTTTGTGTGATTATTTGGATATATTGGATGTTTAACAGCATTGTTTGCAAACAACAGCTAACTTACAGCTCATAGGTTACATGTTCATAAATGTATAAATATGTAAATGCAAATATGTAGAATTAAGTAAACAGTCAAATACAAAGATCAGTAAATTACCTGGTTTAATTTATTTAATAAAAACAAAACATTTTATTATTGATTTTCAAGTCAAATTATCAGTCTGCTAATGATATCTTTTTATTTGAACAGCTCCTCCTAAGCCCACTGTGACCCTGCAGCCATCTTGGCCTCAGATATACAGCGTTGTGATATACAGCGGTGAGACAGTCACTGTCAGATGTGAGATTCAGGGAGGTGAAGGAGCTCAGTGGACGTATGAATGGAGACGAGGCCAGTCAAACATAGGTTCAGCATCCAATGAATACAGAACCATCAGAGTTACTGAGTCTGACAGTGGAGGATACAGATGCCGGGGCAGACGAGATTCTTCCTGGACAGACTGGAGTGATGTCATTACATTGACTGTCTTATGTAAGTTGAACATATTTCTCTCATTTTAATTTCAAAAACAAAACAAAATAATTTCAACAGTACTGTGGGTTTCTGGGGTATTTGTTAACACAGTGGAGTGACATCATCACACTGACTTTGTCATGTAAATTGGGCATATTTCACCTTTTTTAAAAAAAATTCTATTGCACAATGTTTAATGCAAAAACAACAAAATATCATGTCTTTCAATAAGACTGCAGGATTTGTACTTGTTTTAGTATCAAAAGTAGCATAAATTAAATTTTAAAGTTTTACATAAAATCCACAGCAATCACTCACAGTGAAACTGTTATGATAAGGCTGTGTGGCAGGGAGGATGTAGGACTTAAAAGGCTGCTTTATTGCAGTGGTATAATTTTCACGAAGAGAAAAAAAACTTGCAAAAACAAAATGAAACAAAAAACTTGGAACTAATAACAAAAACACTGGGAAACCTGTAAACTAGTGACAGAGATCTCAGGAAACACGAAAACACGCAGCATGGTGAGGGGACGACGTGACACTGACAGAGAGAAACACAGGTCTGAAATACACTGAGCGAAACGAGGGAATGAGACACATGAGGGGAGAACAGTCGAGACCAGGGTGAAGCAAAACTAGAAACAGTGACAAAGGACAAGGGACCGTCAAAGTAAAAAAGCAAGTATAACACAGACACGGACTAGACACTGAACAAAGGGAACACGGAGCACAGAAACCAGAGAGACAAAAACACGACTAGGGTGGGTTTTGATTATCTATTTCCCGATTAAAATCGATTCTAGCTTGAATAACTTGATATCGCTTCAATAAAATCCTGAATCGATTTTCTAAATAGAAATGTATTTTGTCCGAAACGCGAGAATCTCAGGTTAAACCACAAGATTTCAACAGCCACCAACCAGCTAAAACAGTAAATGAGAGCAGGCACCTGCTGTGACGCTCACACCTTTGATAAAGTCTCACAAGTGTCAGCTTTGTTTTTATAGATAAAAAAAAAATATGGATATGTACTGATAAGTGATCAGAATTATAATATTTCTGACTGAGGCAAAATTTCGCAGATTCAAATCGAATCGACTTCTAGAAATCAGTGACGATATCCAACCCTGGACACGACTGACTGGGGAACAAGAAAATACAGTGTTCCCTCATTTATGTCAGGAGTTAAATTCTAAAAATAATCCACCATAGGTGAAACCTGCGAAGCATCCAACTTTATTTTTTATAATTATTATAGATGTTTTAAGGCTGTTAAACCCCTGATTACGCACTTTATTCCCTTTTCTCAGACAGGCACGAACATTTTCACATTTTTCTCTCTTGTTTAAACACTCTCAAAGTTCAAACCTTCTAGAAAAATAAGTCCAAAATTAAAGAATGAAACCAAAGGCACCCGCGGTTGCCTTTGACGGTGCAAAACGTTTCGTCGACATTGTTGTGTTTGTTGGGGAGAAAACTTACAAACACAGTGCAGCACTTCAGAGTCACGCTGCTAGCGATCAAAGATTTATGTAAATTTGACAAGCTGAACACATTCTGTACTGGACAGCAGCGGTCCTTTATCGCAATCTTTCTTGCTCTACGGACCGGATAATGTCAGACAGTATTTTTCGTGGACCAACCTTTAAGGTGTCACGGATAAATGCATCAAATTAAAACGATACGGCCAAGACAAAAACTGTGGTGTTTTGTAGATTTAATAATAAACATGAATTCACTGTGTAATTGTGTAACTTTATTAGCAGCGTCCTCCTCAAATGCGCCAACAACATTGAGAGTAAGATCCTCCTCCTCTCTCCTTGATGCTCTCTGATCGCTATGGTCAGTAGCGGTTTTAGATACGGGCGATACGGGCAGTTGCCCGGGGCGGCATCGTGGTGGGGGGCGGCATCACGGGCATCGGCAAAAAAAAATTAAAAAATTGCTCGTACTCATGCTGCCCCGACGTCTATCGTACATTTGCTGGGGCGCCCTCCGTTTGCGAGGTGCGCCTGCTGCTTGCGACACAGGGAGGAGAGGGCGGGGCGGCGGGGGATTCTCTGGCTGGCTGGAGCAGCATCTAATAACCAACTCGCAAAATAAAATAAAATAAAAACAAAACAACAAACAC